TTTCTGAGCCCTGGCCAGTTGGTATCTGGGGATACTATCCCCCTGTGCCAGCTGGACTGCTGCAGCAGCCCTGACCTAGAGTGACCCCTGCACCCTCTACCCACTTTAGCAGTCTGGCAGCAGGGGCTGCTGCCTGGCTGTGACCCTCTGCCACCTGCAACAGCATCCAGCCCCTTAGACCTGCAGCCCCATGTGTGCATGCCTGCCAGACCCAGATGGGGACTGCATGGCTGCCTAGGCTGTGGCAGGGGCAGTGTAGCAGAGCCACCTTCACCTCTGGGCCAGCTGCCACTGGGCCATGCCTGCACAGTTGGCCTTTGTGTGGCACTTCTCCCATCTGTGCCCCTGCCTTGCCTTTTGGGCAGCTATTGCCTAAAAGATTTACTCATTGTGGTGGCCCACTTTGAACTGTTGAAGCATGTCCTCCTGCCCCAAATGGTCGGGAGGACAGCCACCTCATTTGCCCTCCAGCTGGGTCCCCAGTGCCAGCCCTGGGCAGGCTCCCCTGGCTGGGTCCCTCCACTTGCCTCACTAGCAGGAGTCCTGGTGTTTCCTGTTTAAAAATGGCAAATTCACTGATCAAAAAATCCCAACTTCACTCCCACTATATAAAAATAATGTATACCTTTGGGGAAGCATTCCTTGGGGAACGTATACATGCTTCAGTCCAATGTATATGCCTTGGGGAAGTAGAATGTATTATTCTGTATTCTTATATTTCTCCCATTATCTATCTCACTGTGCCATGGCATTTTACCTTTTATATTTCGTATTTTATACTTTTAAACTTTTACTGAATGTATTTTACTTTAGAAGTAAGTTGTACCCTGTAATAATATTAGAAACCATTGTTGTAAGCACAGGAATTGAACTGTTGCTCTTCTGTTTCAGACTGATCTCTGAATGAATGGGAATGGGGTGAATGAATGAGTGATTGAGTAATAGGCATAGCCGGCTGCCATAACAAGGTAACGAATCGTGATTAACACCTACAAACTGCAGACAGATGAAAAGAAGAAATCAATACCAGTGCCCGGAAGCTCCTTTAACTGTATTGTCAGTGCAACAAAGTCTCCAGTTTAAGTTAATCAACACCAGAGACCTACGGGTTCCTCAGACTGAATACCACCCAACTGACTGATTCTGGAGCCCCTATTCATGCCCACAATCACCCCATCCCTCTCCCTCTTCTCAGTTTCTGTGTGCTGCAAGCCTTCCAAATCTCCGAATCTCTCCGAATAAATTTGGAGGCTTCCAATTCAATTCTGACCTTTTAATGGATCTCCTGATTCAGTTCAGATTTGAAGATTCAGCTGTCAAATTGGGCCAAATCTCCTCCAAATTGAATCGGTTGGAGAAGCTTCGCATAGCCCTAATGTGCAGCCCCCAGGTCTAAGGTGGCGCTGCGTCACTGCAGGTTTGTGCCTGCAATAGCCATGAACATCCTGATAGTCTGTCTGGCTGCTGCTGCCAGTGCCAGGTGCTGTGTTCGGCAGGCGGGGAGGGCAGCTGTGTGGTGGACTCACTCAAACTCCCACACAGCCCCACCACACCCAGCCACAAACCTCACAGCCCCCTACCCCCACATCCCTACTTACCAGGGACACAGCCTGAGTCTATCCACTGCTGCAGCCTTGCCCTGCTCTTATTCGCCCCAGCAAGCTGAGGCAGCATGCTGGAGCAGCAGGGGCATGTGGCAGTCATAATGACACTCTGGCAGGTGCTAGAGTGTCTCCTTGGAAGACCCAGCATACACCACTTTTTTTCTGGACCGATTTTTTTTTTTTTTTTCTTTTAATACCAGCATTTCCCAGTATCAAATTTAGAGCCCACGCTGTAAATATGCAGTGCAGAGAACATTTTTTCATTTGTGGCGTGCCTCCTGCAGCATCTTAAACTGCTTTGAGGTGCCACAACAAGCGGATGCTCACTCATCTGCACGTGGCCAAAAAGCCCATTTTTGAATGAGCTGCCGCTTGCTGCACTACTCTTTCCCAGCTGGTAGTTGGGGTGTACAAATCGGGTCCTATTCAATTCAGATTTGGATTCAGCCTGAATCAGGGACGGTGATTTGATTCATTGATTTGGATCGCTGTCCCTGACTTGTTTCAGCTGAATCAGAATCTGAAGATTTGATGCTGATTCAAAGAATCAGCAATTTGGACATAGACGTAGCTTTAAATGTTTTTTCTACATACCTTGAGGTGCCAGCATGGCTTGTGAATGCTGAGTTGTTGGGGCAGATGGAGCTTCCCACAGGAGTGCAGGGGGTCCCTCCATGTATTTGGCGGTGAACCCAAAGTGGACTGGAAGTACTTTCAGTCCACTTCTGGGTCCACCAGGGAGTGTGCAGGCCCCTCCCCAGTGCCCCCTGGCTCAGGAGTCAGCCGCAGGGGACCCCAGGTGTCCCCCCCAGACCCAGGAGGCACCAGATGCCTGGCTGGGGGAGCGCGGGGGGCCCCCTGGCATGCTCCCTGGTGGACCCAGAAGTGGATTGGAAGTGCTTTTGGTCCACTTCCAGGTCTGCTGCTGAGCGCACTGGGGAGCCCCCCACGCTTCAGTGGGACACTCAATGAGCCCCAGCATCGCAGCATTCACCTGCTACCTAGAGGTATGTAGAACAAACCTTTAAAGCTGTGTCTATGTCTGAATCGCTGAATCTTTCCAAATCTCTCCGAATCGATTTGGAGGGTTCTGATTCAATTCAGAGATATTAAAGGGTCCATTGATTCAATTCAGATTTGGAGAGTCGGCCTCCGAATTGGGCCGAATTTCTGCCAAATTGAATCAGGGACCGAAGCTTCACAGAGCCCTACTGGTAAGTATGTGTGATTCCTGTTATGTGTTTTGCCCTTTTTCTCCTGAGGAAATGGCAAGAGTGGAAGTACAGTATAACCCCAGAAGGAAGTTTGAGGCTTTCTAATTGGTTTTGTCTTTGTTGTTAGAATCCAGCTCTCCTGGGAAAAGGAACAATGAATGCATAAAAAAGTGCGCCTCAGATTCATGTTGAAAACATATTCTATCATGCCACACTGTCAGGCATTCTACATCTTGCAGAACAAAACTGATTTAGGAAAGATTTTTTTTTTTTTTTAAATCTTGGACATATAAGTTTTTCTTCCTGTGCCTGTAAAGGCAGCTGATTCAGTTGCTATGAGATGAACTATGTAGAAATGGGAAGGAGAGAAATGTTAACATTTTTAAAGGTAGAGGTACAAAAATGCAAATGACCAAAAATATTTTTCTATCCTATTAAATAGGTGCCAGTTCTTTAAAATTAATATCTTATGGCACAGCAGGCCCCAGAATGAGTGCTGTGTTCCACTGAAAATAAAAAGAGTATTTCCATCCCATTCCATGGTTTAAAGTTCCTGTTTCTAATTCTTGCAGTGTTCTGAGAGAACAGATTTTAAAACCAAGATATTTTTATGTACAGAAAAACTGTCATGAGCCCAGCATTGAACCTTGCCCATTCTTGGTCTTGGGCAAATGTAACTTCATGGGGCAAGAAAATGGAGGCAGCATTTCTCTGGCAAGTTGTGTGCGCTTTGTTTTGTTTGTTTGTTTATTTTTCATTTTTAAATGATAGCTGTTTGATTACTTCCCTTCTGAGATGCATAAGAGTGAAGTTATTGACAGAGAGGGGGAGACTACAGCCCGAGTTTCCAGCTTCTTGCTCCACTATGCTAATCAGGAGCTGCCTGTGGATTTGGAGTGCTGCTTAAGAGGAATTAGTAGACATGTGGTGTTTTCAAAGACATGCAAGTAGCATGTGGTATTGTGCATTCCCTGCAAACATACAGTGGCATTTTTTATGTCTGCCTTTTTATCTGCTGGGATTTTACATGCATTTTACACTAGATAAGCATTGGCTAAAAAACAGAAATAGCCCTAGCAGTGGGGACTGGAACTGAGGGCTCCTTACTCCCAGGAGACTAATTTCTTCCCTAGGCAACAGAATTAGGCTCTTACTTACTTGCTTTCCTTCTGCCTCTGTGACTCCTGTGTCCCTATATGCCCAGTGGCTGAGCTTCAACAAGAGGAGAAGAAGGTATCCTTACCCACCCAGCCTCATTATAGCCTCATTATGAAAATACCTTCCTGGATAGGTGGCAGATGTGGGTAGGAATGCCCCTCAGTTTGAGGAAGGCCTGTAACACAGGTCTTCCATTGTATGGGTAAGTGCTGCAGGTGGGCAGTGTTCTGAGGCCCCAGTGGCAGATCAAGGCCCCCATGGTGAGGGAGGGAGTGGGGCAGAGGCTGGGGGTGCTGCCCAGCCAAGGCAGTGCATGGGGCCAGGGTGGGGAGAAGGACAGAGCCACAAGCTGCTCATCTAGAAGTGGGATGGATGGGGGGGTGCATATCCCCCCCCACGATTTGTGTGTGGGGTAGGGGTGGGTGCAGGCTGCCCACCAAGGGCTCGGGGCTCCCCATCCTGCTGCTCTGCCCCCAGGGCCTCTGCCATAGTGAGGTGCCCCCTGAACGTCCAGCAGCAGCAGGGGTAGCAGTAGCATGGATTTGTGCCCCCTGCTGCTGCTGGATGGGCAGAGGCTATGCATGGCTGGCATGGGGTTCCTGGGGGGAAGGCAGCAGGACAGGGAGCCCTGAGCCACAGTGGGCAGCCCGCATCCACCCCCTCTCCACTCTGGTCTGGCTGTGGTGGTGAGGGGAAAAGGTGGGGAAGTCATGTATGTGTCTCACTTTCTCCTTCTGAAAAGGTGGTCACCCTACTTACAGGCTCTAGAACTTGGGCAGAGTTCAGGCAGCTCACAGTATAGATTTCCATCCCAGTAGCAGGTAAGTGGGAATATAACTTCTGGGGAGTTGATCTATATAGCTTTTCAATAAGTGTGCTGGCTTTACTGAAGACACTGAGGGAACTTTTCAGGTTGAAATGAGTGGGCTAATGAGTCTAGGTGCTTCTGGTTTTACAGTTGCTGGTGCAGGGCCAATCTAGATTGATCTGGGTGACCTAGCTTCCAAAATTGGCTCAATTCCACATAAAGTCCAGTTAGATACCTATGAAAATGATGCGAATCTGGTCTTATTAACCCAGTTTCTCTAGTCATGTAAACATAATAGAAATTTATAACCCTTATGCTTGAAAAGGAAATCTTGAAAACACAAACTGACTCTAGGGCAGGAGATGAGTAGGGCCTGGCTTCTGCTGCTGTCATTCCAGGGTGGGGACAGTGTGTGCTGTATCCCTGTTCCTTAGAGGTCCTCTTTTGTCAGACTTGAGGGAGATAAGTCATGTACTGTTGTTTCTACTTCTCGTGGCTACACAGCTGAAGCATCAAAAGGTGACAGTCTCTTAATTGCCTCAGTTTGGCCATCCTTGCCTCTTCCCTCTTCTCATTGAACTTCAGTAGCACTTAGAGGGATTGGAATTAATGCTTAATTATAAAATAATTTTCACAAGGGATAACTCATCATATTATACTATGGACTGAGATTTTCTTTCTGAATTTAACCTCCTTTAGTTGGGGAAAATACCATGTGAAAGGGGGCCTGAAAGTTGTTGATTTGTATCATGGAGTGTGGACCTCATCCTGTGACCTTGACTCCAGGAATGCTCCTATTTTAATCAATGGGAGGTTTGTTTGGGGAATGAATGGAGAAATAGCCCCTGTCAGGATGGTCTCAGACTATTTGTCGAAGTGCAGGAATTTGATACAAATATGTGAAAATTCCACAATCTGAAAGATTTCAGCAGTGCATGGAGTTTGAGGAATATAAATTACACAGGTAAGTCCAAAGGGAATTTCATATAACTTTGAGGGAAAGTGGATTCATACTGTAAGAAATTATGTTCACGGTGTGCGTGTAGACAGAGACAGACAGAAGACAGACAGACTCCTTTGGCTAAATTTTTTGCCACTTTATTTGCCCGTTTCCAGATTCTTATGAGTGGTCACCAAACAGTTGATCAACTGGCCAATCATGGAGCCTCTGACGGTCAATCTCAGTCTGTCAGAGGCTCCACAATTGGGAGCAGCAGGACGCATGTGGCTCAGCTGAGCCACATCCCCTGCCACCCAGGCTGGTCTGGGTGAGTGGGGGCAGAGCCCAGGCAGCTTGTCTGGGAGGTGGGGTAGGGGTGAGGGCAAGGCAGGGGAGCGGAGCCAGGGGGAGCAGGTGGGGAGGGAGGTGTCGTAGATCCTGGGGTGCCAAAAAGTGATCTTCTCTATAAAAAGGTTGGAGACCACTGCCATAAATCAAACTAAGAAATTCGATGGGCATCACAAAACCATATGTGGCCTATGCAACTGAAAATGGTGTTTGGCCTCATTTAGTGTGAATTTTGTTTTAAAATGACCTCAAAAAAACTGAATGATAAAATGGTTAGAACTAGATCTGATGAAAGCATGTTCTAGCATTATTAATTTCAACTCTTAAAGGCAGACAAAGATCATTCATTTATGCTTATTCCCTGATTGCATGTTCTAGAGAACAGAGTCTACTGGCAGAAATCTTCTTTGAAATTCTAAATTCTAAGTGAAAATTGCAGAATTTTCATTGAAAGAAAATTGTAAATATATAATTGCAATCCACCAACTCAAATCCTAAGTACCTATGCTTATCTGTCCAAGTATAGGAATTTACTACATGACCTGTGCACCCAATAATAACAGGTCATATTCTGAATATTGATTACTGTGAACAAACCATTCATGAGCATGCTAGAAATATTCAAATGAATAGTTTTATTTAGTAACTGTGTGAGAGAATAACCGGCAAATTTCTAAACATTAGAAGGAAGTTCCTCATCAAGGAATCATTACTGTTGATCTGTCTTTAGCTGGAGTATTGGTTTTTCTCATTTTTTTCTAATTAAAGTTCATATTCTGACTCTAGGCATGCATAGAATTTAGGAGGCAGACAAATCAAATGAGCTTGGAAATCAGGTCTTTAAGGTCTAATGGGAATTGAGTATCCAAATTGCCACCTTCCCTAGCTTACCAAAACTCCTGGGGTGCTCAGCCAGGCAGCTGGGATGGGGCCGCAGGCAGGTGGGGCCTGACATCCAGGAGCAGGACTGGTGGGTGGGGGCATGGCTAGGGCTGGGATCACTGGGTGGAGACAGCTTGGGGCTGGGGCAGAGCCATAATCCACTGCTACACCCCACTGTGACGGGGGCCAGTTCTGTGGGCAAGAGCATTTGGGGAGCAGATTGTGGCTCTGCCCTGGGCCTCACTGCCCAGAGACCTGGGGGGTCTTCAGAGAGACTGGCTGGGACCTGTGCCACCAGGAGGACCAAATGAAACCATGGGTGGGCAGGGACCTGTGTCCAGGATCTTGGGGTGGTGACAGTGCTGGGACAGGGCATGGGCAAAGCTGTGATCTGCTTCCCACATGCCCCTGCCTGCAGAATCTGTCACAGGCATGTGTGGGCAGCAGATTGTGGTTCTGCCACAGCCCTGGCTCCATGCAGTCACTATCCTGCCATCCTGCTCTGTGATCCTGGCCTCACCTGCCCATCCTGCTCCCGAACACTGCTCTTCACCTGGGTGCAACCCCATCCTATCTGTGCAGCCATGTGCCCAGCCTGCACAGGTCCTGCCCCAGGGGTGGGCACAGGGTGGATGGGCTTGTGTGCCTGGGCAGCAGGGCCAGGTTTGGTGATGGTGGCAGCCAGAAGGAGCCACTGCCACTGGGTCTGCTGGGAAGCGAGTCCAGCTGCCATGCCATCCCAATCCTGCTGTGCACCCAGGGGTGGTGCGGACTGGCCATATGTGCCACAGCCCAGGCTACTGCTTGTACCTGGGCTAGGCTGGGCTGGAGGACCCACCACGGGCCATACAAAATCCCTCTGCAGGCCAGATCTGGCCCGTGGCTAACTGAAGCAGGTAGAGTCTTCCACTAGGCACCAAAAAAGTGAAATGCTTGTTGAACCCAATTGTAGCCCAATTTAATAGCAAAAAAGCAAAATAAAGCAGGAACACAAATGAAGTCCTGCTTCCTCCAGCTAGGCTGTTCTTAGAGTTTCTTCCTTGGAGACCCATCTGTCAAGAGTAGCGTCTAACAAGCCATATATGATCTAATGTCTCAGCAGTAACCCCTGTTACTGTCTCTGTAATTCCAGCACCTGTAGGTTAGGTGAGTCGGCAGAATCCTGGCACCATTTTATAGCCAAGTTAGGTGAAGAAGGTCTGTGAGTCATAGATCAATAAAAGGCAAAATGCTTTACTTGGCTGTACACGTCATTTTGAATGGAATTTTTGTTAAGAGTTGACTAAATGATGCGGTTACCTTTCTATACGATTTGATTATTTATGAGGCATGTGAATAAGGCAGATGCCCTGACCAAATGGAATCCTCTTTAGAGTATGGGGAAGGATCTATACCAGTTTAAGAATAGGTTGATACTCTTTTGATGATCTATATGAGTGCAAGAAAAACCTGTTAAGCAGAAATGCAGTAGAGCAATAAAACATGGGTACCTGTCCTAAGCCTTATAAAAGCTGGAACCCTAACTGTGTGGCCCAGCTGGAAGCAGCAATAGAGTAAAGCACACACAGCACTTCCATCGGTAACATTTTTGTATAGACATATATTAAGGACCAATTGCTATGAAGTGCTGCTGTCCACAGAAGGCATTGAAAATACAGTGCATCATACCAATGAAAATGTAATCTCAGTGAAAGCAATATAACAGATCATGTTGCGGAATAACCTGGTGGTATCATCTCCCCCTAGTATGCAAACAGCATTTTTGGTACAATGGTGAGGAATTACAAATCTTGCTGTTGAAAGTGTGTGTCTACTGCCTAGAATCACACTTGGGTGCAAAGACATTCCAGATCATTTTCAGAAGTGCCAGCTCTTTTGCCATTGAGCATAGGAAGCTATGTATTTTTTTTCACTCATCTTATCAAACAAATTCTGATCTTGTTCTGTATATAGTGCATCATGATCTAATAAGGTTAACAATTTGTTTTTGACAAGCTGATGTGATCACAAAAGCTTCTGTGTATTATTCCTCTGATAACATTTCCATTGTACTGAAATATGTTGTGGCTCTACATGAGCATGCTCAACACAACATGTAGAAGAAGTTTGCTGCGGTAAATCAGATGAGCTGTTGGATGTCTTTTCCTTTACTTCACCTCCAAATAGATTCCAGCAGCTCTGAGGGTACCTATCCACATGAAAAAGCTCTGCTCCCTTGCTTGCTAATTAGTAGGCCTGTGCGAGTCGGTAGTGATCCAATCTGGCTTCAGATCTGGCTGCTTTGGATGGCTACAATCCAATCCGGAGCTCCAGACCGGGTTTCCACCTTGATCTAGCCAAAGCAGCTCCAAAGCTTCAGAGCTGCCTCAGAGATC